CCTATTTAGAGAAACAGGGACCAAAGAGGAGTTTTGATGTGAGAAAACAAAGAAGAGAAAGAAAATTGAGACAGTGCAGTAGCTTCATGTATAGTTAGTAACTCTCAAATCAATTTTGTGGTCAATCATGTTTTCAAATAATTTATTTTAATAAAAAAACATACAACTTTTATAAAACAGTTATCCCTTGGAAAATTTTTTTCTATTACCATTTGACACTTAGCTATATGTTTTATGTGGCTTTCATTTTTTAAATCTTGCAGAGTTACACTCTAGAATTAACCTTTTTTCTTTTTCATGAGTATAAATATCAAGGGAATTTTATGTGTGGGCCTATAAAGCTTAACTCACAACCTTTTTCTTCTTTTTCAGGTTTCTTTTTTTATAACAATTGTTTTTAATTGTTATTATGAATACTTAATGAGTATATTTAATCAGTATTTGCTGTAGTTGAACGATTCTATCCCAAATAAAGTGAGCAAAAAGAGCAAAACTGTGTTGAAGCAATTCTCTCATTTACTTCAAAAGATAAAATGAAATTTAACAAAATATACAATGCAACTTAAAATCATGTTGGTTGACTACCTACAGGGTGCATGAACATCATAGTGCAGATTACTGATACATCCTTCTCTCAAGTGGTTACCTTCACCTCCCTGGCTACCTGATATTTTAATAGCCAAGCAGTAGGAATAGTAAAAAAAAAAATGAACAGGTCAAGTGTTAAAAATCCATCACAAAGAAGTACTTACATGCAACTGTGTTCTATATGGGGAGTAAAATCACTAATATTGGCTCTATGTATGCAATGGCATGAAGAGGTTTGAGTAAGTGCTAACAAATTATAAAAAGAAGATTCATAATAAATGCATTTCAATAAATTTAACGGACAAAGAAAAGAGTGATTCACAAGGAAATCATGTGCTGTTTCCTTTGCATATAACAACCTTCAAAGTGATTTAACTCAACCCACTGAATATAAATTAAACAGAATTCAAAGCTATGGGTATAGAGGCAGGATTTTCTCTGTTGAAAACTCTGAAGTCAAACTTTTAATTTCTTGTTTAGCCCATACCAAAATGGTGGAAAGGTCCACTAAGAAAAAGATCCATTATATCATTAGTTTTTCAAATGATATTAACACTCAGTCAGGTTCAAGAGTAGCTACAAAAAAATTCAGCATTTCTCTTCCAAATTGAGTTCTTGGCAATAAACCATAACCACCATGGGTTTATCTTATTGATTAATCTATGAGGTGATAATTCAGTTATCATTATATTACTTTATCCAGAATTCTGGCTTAGTCTATAACTTAAATTATTATCTTATTATAACTTACAACAGTCATTTAATCAAAACTTGGACATTGTATACCTGTCAAGTATACTAAGGTAGCTTTTAAGGTTGGTTTCAAAAGTTATTACATCTATTCATTTTCAAGTTTACATGTATTAGCCAAGCTGGGAGGTTAGAAGTACAGCTATTCGTGGAGTTAGTTTATTTTTAATTGTATTATCAGCAAACAGAAGGTTACAGCCACAAAAAAGAATTAACCACAAACACACTTCTGCACAGAATATTTCAAGTTTGATAGGCAAGTGCTAGGAGCCTCTTTAATAGGCGTAATTTACAAATAGATGGGTTAAGGAAATCTAAAACCTCAGTTCAACTACAAGAACACTCTGCTAAATTTTATATGTACAAGTGTAAATTGAATTCTAAGAATCCCTCCATACAAGTTTATAAGGCCAAGATCGGGGAGATATACCAGGTGGAAATGAAGATAGCAGCAAAGTGGAATAAATTAGCCAAACATTTTCAGAAAAGGGATAAGCTTTTGCCACATATTGGTTTGTGAGATGGGTGTCATCCAAACAATGCAGAGTAGCATAAGAAGTCAAATTTTATTGTAAAGCATACGATTTTGCTATATACTATTAGTAAGATACAGTAAGTAATTTACCGTAACATATTGAAAGTAGTGTAATATGTCATAAAATAATGTAAATGTAGAGTATTGTGTAGGTAGTGTAAGTAATAGAGAGTAAGTCATCTTCTGTAATCAAGTTTATTATACACTATACTTTGTTAGTAGTGTGTTCTCAGTAAATTATTGTAAGTGATGTGTTGTAACTGAGTCCTGTAGTGTATTGTAAGTAGAGTAATGTTTTGTAAAATGCCAAAAATAAAGAAATTACAAAAAACAAAAAACAAAAAAACAAGAACACTCTATACCAAAAACTCTCACTCTTCTACTGTCTGTAAAAATTATCCAATCACATCTTTCTCTATCTCCAAACAGAATGGAATAGAAGTCTATCTTACTACGAGACCAAAAAAGTGATGTGCTAAGCAGATCTAAAACAGTTAAACACAGCACAACCAAACAATTTGCTTAGTTTGTATTTTCTTATTTTTAGGCTTCACACTACACAAGAAGCAATATGACAACTCTTGTTCAAAAATAACACAATTTCTAGCCCTCTCTTCATATTTTATCTTAGGAAGCAAATTCAAACCCTTTCTATCTTCTTAAAGTACAGTGTATGGTATTCTCTCCTTCCTTTCATCATTATTAAACTATGTGCAAGCTTTGAGGTATAAATCAATAGTTCATGTATAATTTTATGGTTTGACTCACTTGTGACTGTATTATTTGTAGCTGTAAGAGCTGTTAAAGTGTTGACATCCCACAGAAATATCTGCCTATCAAGTCCTCCAGAGGCCACCAATTCTTTCTGACTGGCATAAGCAAGTGCCTTGACATAGTCTTTGTGAGTGCGCAGGGTAGACATACAGAAACTCCGTCCAGAATCCCACACTTTAACAGTTGTATCAGATGATGCTGATAATACTGGAGAATAAATTAGAAAAAGGTTAACATGCATGTAACTGCAAGCCATGTAATCATATCTGCCATTTAAGTTTAGCTTCATTTGCATTAGAGCTATTTACTGCAACCCTCTAAGCTGCAACCATTTTTGCAGACCATGGCTAGTGGTTGGCACTAGCAACTTGAATTGGAGGTTTACACAGTTAAGAACTCAGAAAACTTGTGATGAAAAGTTAAAAACTTCAACTCTTAAGGACAAAATCAGTTCCAAACTAGGCCAAATTTAGTTTTTTCAAATAGTTGAAAGCTAAGCCACCTGTAGGAAATACAGTCAAGCCTCAGTCAAATATTACATATTGGGCATTCACAACACGCACTCAGCTTGGCAGTCTGAAAATATGATTTTTGCCAGCACGTTATGTTGATGTAAGAGGTTGTTGGTTAGCTTTAACAATCTTTCGTAAATACTTTTGGAAAATGTCATCAAGTTGTGCACAATGATTTGAGAATTTGTTTTAATTCTTGCCTAAAATTGATACCTGCTTTTGTTTGTTTTGTTTTGTTTTTTTTTTTTTCAAGGTACTCAATTTTAATTTTTGGTTCTGGACTCTGGATTATCTGGACTATTCAGCCCAGTCTGGAGTCCGGATGACCAAGATTTCAACTCTAAAACAAAACTTGACCTTGAACAATATGTTCAACTAAGTTTTGGCCTACTATGTGACCTTTTCTCATTGTGTTAAGCATGAGAATCAGCTAAAAATCACAACAATAATTTAATGATAATTATAATATTTTGGCACCTCAAAAGTGAATGTGAATAAATTCTCATTGCATAGCCAATTGCCTAAAAAAGTTATTTGCTTAGGACAGAGAAGGGAAAACAAATCATGGCTCTCCAGCAAGAAATCAATCAATTTTTCCTATTATTTATAAAAAAAAAAGCCATCTTATCATGGTATATACAAGAAAGTGACTCTCTTACTTGTTCTACCATTGCAGCAAAGGACTATATCATTCACCCAGTCTGTGTGGTGTTCAAGTGATGCTATGTAATAGTTCTAGAACCAGACAAATAATAACTGTTCTTCAAATTGATACAAACTTTACATGAAGTGCAAGTCACCATGTAACCAATCACAAACCCCTAGCATATGTTTTTACTAAATACAATTGATCAGTAAAACATTTTTGTTGTATATGGATCTCTAGCTAAAATTTAATAATTCATTTTGACTTTGTACCCTTTGAATGGAACTAAACTCTTTCCTCGCTCCACTTGCCCCTCCACCCCTGGGGTTCATACCAACAGGTGACCTGAGATGCCTCACACATCCCCATACAAATCACACTTCCTAAATTGAACAAGGTTCATTTTGAAGATACTGAATCATTCTTTTAATAAAAACAGCCCTAGATACCCATCGAGTGAAGATACTGCTGGGCTGGAAAAAAAGACATGTTGAATCTTCATCCTCCTGCTTTCATTTGGTTTTAACTCAGTTGAGCTTGTTTACGTTTGTAAATAAGTCTTCTTTATTTCACATTTACGAACTATTATTTTCCACGAACAAGAACCAGAGCGAAAAACTCTGAGTCCTTCTTCCAGCTCCAGTTCATAAGAAAAAGCAAGTCATTCTACGCAAATGTTAATATTATACAAATAAAACTGCACACCTTGTCTACAGTTGTGTTCCAACATCGAATGATAGAATCTCGTCCTGCAGAATACAGCCGACCAGTATGTTTATCAAACTGAAGCGCATTTACACCTGACCGATGCAGAGGTTCTTCTTCGTCTCGTATCACAAACGAAATTGTGACTTTTCTCCTCGGCATGGCGTGGTTGTGAGGATGGCCATGCGAGTGGCCAGAAGGCGGCCGCATCCCTGCCGCCATCTTGCACTTCTTCCTGTCACAACATCAATTTAGGTTCCAGTTCTCCGATTCTGATAATCCATCCGCGGAATATCCTCCTAGACAGGTATCATTACTCGATGTTTCCAATCAGTAAGGTCAAGATAGGAAAGGAAAATTTTAATTTATGGAATATGGTCGAATTGATTGTCAGAATACCAGAGCTAGTTTTATGCTCGGTGCAAGCTTCATCTAGCGTCATCTAACATCACCTCCCACCATGTGTAAGGGAAACCAAACACAAACAAAAGACAGTTAAGTCCCAGTCCCGTGACAATCATGTGACATTCCCTAGAGAGTTATGTCATTTCAAATCCCCGTAACATGTCTCTCGTGAGAAGTCTTGTTGCGTTTGCGTTCGCATTTTTCGTGGCAGTGAGTCCACTGGAGGCAAAAAAGCGAAAATCATCTCCTCCGCACATTTTGTTTATGCTTGCTGATGATCTCGGGTGGATCGACGTTGGATTTCATGGATCAAAAATCAACACTCCAACCATTGACTCGTTGGCCAAAGAAGGTGTCATACTCGACAATTATTATGTTCAACCTGTTTGTACACCAGCCAGAGGAGCACTTATGACTGGAAGATACCCCATTCACACAGGTATGGTTAATGTGCCGCTGTTGCTTTGGTATTTCGCGTAAAGCACTACTACTTTCGCATTCCGTGACAATAACTACAAAATCCAATTGACGTAAGGTAACACTATCTATGTTAACATTCTGAGCCTGACCTCCCCCGAGCAAGGTGAATTATCTTCGGAAAAGGCATTTTAATGTTTTTGAGCTTTTGCTTTCGGCTTGGGATAGGTGATAAAAAAAGAAAAATGATTGCAGTGTAGTATCGGATTAGCTTGGCCTGGGCAGGGTACCTTAAATTTTCTTTTGATGATAGTTGGATAACATTAGGAGTGTTTCACATCCCCCCGAGAATTCTGTGGGCACAGCGAAGAACATCAACGTTCGTTAAAAAGAAATGGAGTTGTTCAAAGGTGTGCGTGAAAAATTAACCAAATTTGAATTTGAATTTGTCAATAAATGGGTCGTTCTGACAAGTGGCACCTTAGAAAGCAAAACAAAGTATGAGGTCTGCACAAAACAAATGCTCTTACCTTAGAGCGTATCACTACCACACCGGAAAAACTGTAAAACAGTCCTTGCGTGGATTTTGTTTCGTAAACTACTGTTTCAGGGATCTGAATATCAGTATTTTAGTGTTAAAGCTATTAATAAAAATAAAGAGAACAGCCATAACCATAATGAATGCATGCCATGCAGAAGGGTTCAGAAACCATGCCAGCCGCTTAACAACATCACAGCACAGACTTAACCGAAAATCTCATTAGTGATATGTAAATTTATGGATAATGAGGTCATTTAGGTGTGCACGTACCTTCCTAATTTATAATACTAGAATTTGGCATGACAACAGGATTGTAAATCAGGTTATAAAACGTGGTAAATGATACTATTTGTACCAGTAACACAATATGCTTCGGCGTGACTTTGTCAAGAGGTCATAATGTTCAATAAATGTACAAACTGAAAGATTGGCCTCTGTTTTAAATTTTGCCAAATCGCCTTGGGGAGCGTTGGGAGTCATCCCAGGGTTCCTGGTCATCCCAAAGAAGGAATGAAAAGCGGAAAGACAACCACGCCCCTGTTTTTGTTTACATACGAGCAACAGCAGGAAAAATCATTCATATTACAAGAGTCGAGCTGGCCTTCAACAGGAGAAGCGTCACACATGCCAAGAATAAATCCACCATGCCACACGTTGTTGTTCTTGAAATAAAAACGTACAGAGTTTCTTAATGAGGGCCTTTCCGCACTAGCGACAGAGTTATTAATTCAGACAAATTTTCTGTTATTACCAACATTTTACACGTTGGCGTCACGCGTCATGTTTTACACGTCAGCGCGTGATGTTTTACAACATCAGGCGCTAACGGAATTTAACGTCTTTGAGATAGTCAGACGAAACAAAAATTTGTCCTTTTATTTTGTCGAGACAATTCTAGTTTTGTCTGCTAGTGCGGAAAGGCCCTAAGTTTCAAGAAGAGAATAGAGAAAGCCCACACCAAGTTCAAGAGAAACATATTTCGGAGTTATATGCTCCGATAGAGAACGGTCACTTAAAAACGAAGAAAATAGCAGGAAATAGCAGGCAGAATATTGTCTTTTGTAACACAATAACATCATCAGGCTTTAACTAACTTTCAGAGTATACGGGTTTGGAGATGGCACCTCATTCAAAACCGACCACACTTAAGAGCAATATTTATGGAACCAGCCTATTATCGTATCGCAAGGAAGAGTCCCTTAAAGATATCCTTGCCAGAGCTAAATTGTAAATTCGCTTGCGATCGGTTGGAGTCGTTCAGCCCACGGTCAACACTCATCATTCGTTTCGTGTGACTGGCACCACGCGCGAAGCTCATCGACGCTTTGATGCTGCAAAATCTCTACAAATTGGATATTAGTTAGACATTTGATGCCAAGACTATCCTTCCTGTCATTCCACAGGTTGAAAGTGGACTCTCGAAGCAGAATCCTTTTTATCTGCCACGTAATAGAAGGCGAGATGCTATTGACGGTCCCAGTTACAAACAAAACTTTCTTGAGAAAATTTCTAGAAGCCACAAAAATAACTACTCAGAATAAAACCATTGATAATTTAGGAGGAATATCACAACAATTTAATATTTCAATGTATTTAAATCGCTCGGATGCACTTGGATGATAGGCGTCACAGTGGAAACTTCATGATTTTTTTAAAATTTAAATGGTATTGAAAAAAGCAGGCGAAGCGCGCAATGTCTTGTGGTTGACTAGGATCCTTTGAGGACATTTAAAGGGTAACTTTAAAGAAACTGTGGTGCTGCGTCGCTGGGAGTTATAAGAAGAGATTTTGGTTCTATCAAATAAGTCGATGATTAAATTGGCCACCGTAAAGAGTTTCCAAACCTGATGTCTTTAGCGTCAGTCCTTAATTCGTCCGTGCAAAACAACAGTGCAAAGGAGACCAGTGTGAGAGCCGGCTGCAGATAGAAATTACTTTAGCACTGAGCCAGTAGTTGGTCTATTTACCTGCCAAATCATAAGTAAAGGGGGAGGGTGCATCATGATTAGCTTATATGTTATCAGATCATTTCCTTTTTTTATCCGACTCTTGCAGGACTTCAGCATGAAGTGGTTCACCCCACAAATCCATTTGGATTGCCATTAGATTTTCAGACCCTTCCAGAACAGCTAAAGAAAGTTGGTAAGCCACAGCCTTCCAGGATTCCGGCCCTTCAATTAAAAGAAGAAAAGATTTTTTAATTCCAATGATATTTATTCTAAACAACAATTTTTTGTAAGAAAGAAGCCCTTCACACCAAACCGTAAAAGCTGATCAACTTAAATGGGCGCCTTACCCGACACAAATTTCGCGTTGCTTTCTGTCTATGCTCTTCTCTATGATTATGGCGTTTTGTTTATACCTCATTCTGCGCAAATAAATCTTCAAAATACTTCAGTAATTCAATTTACAAATGGGGTGTATTTCTTAAATTTTTTTCTATCAGGTTACGCGACTCATTTGGTTGGCAAGTGGCATCTTGGTTTCTACAAATGGCCTTATGTTCCAACCAACCGTGGTTTTGACTCCGCTTATGGATTCTGGGATGGTGCTGAAGATCATTATGATCACACGCGTGACAAAGTGGTTGATTTTCGCAACGGAACCGAACCTGTTTTAGACCTGAACGGAAAATATGCAACATTCGAATATGTCAAGGTCTAATAGTTAATATTTCCACGTAACTATGGTTTATAATGCATCATTTGTTAGACTTAGGCGGTAAATTACGATTAGTCGATGCAAAGACCCGTCGTGGAGGACGGTGAGGTCTATAATGCCATATCTTCTCACGGCCCCTATGACATAAATCAACTATGAGTTTGATTCTCCTATCAAACGGGGTTCGAATTCATCGCCAGTATAACGTTTCAGACTTCCCACAAAGTTTGCTACTGCCTAATTAAAGTTATACGCTTTTCGTGACGCTAGCACTTCTACAAAGAAACTCCTTCTCTCCTACCTACATCCTGAATGCATATTTTATCTTATACTTTTCTCAAAAGATATTGCAATACTAGGGCTACGATGAACTGTGTTATGTCCGTAATGAGTATTTCACGGTTGTTTTTATTTTATGATTCCATCAGAGGATAGAGGAGATTTTGGATCAACATGACCCAAAACAGCCCCTGTTCCTGTACATGGCCTTCCAGAATGTTCATAATCCCATCCAGGCACCAGACCAGTATGTGGACAAATTCTCGTTTATTCATCAAAAGATGCGCCGAGTGCATGCTGGAATGGTCGCTGTACTGGACGAAGCTGTTGGCAACATCACGAAAATGTTTAAAAAGAAAGGGTGAGTTTCGAATTAGTTTACTGGAAGGTTTCATATTTTGATTCTATTGTGAGCTTGAGCGGCCATTATCCTAGATTCGTGCTATCACAGTGCTGGGCAAGACTCTTATTACACGAGGATCTCTTTGGGTTTTCTATGTGCAAAGTTTACGGCAGCCGTGATAACTCTGTTGATTTGAAGGGTGAATACAAGCGTTTGTGATCTTCATTGTTCTCGTCCAGGCTATGGGAGAACACTTTAACAGTCTTCAGCACTGATAATGGTGGAGAACCTACGTTTGGCGGATATAACTGGCCTCTTAGAGGAACAAAACATACTTTATGGGAGGGAGGAGTGAGAGGTGCTGCTTTTGTCCATGGAAAAATGTTAGAAAAGACCGGTGTGAAATGCGAAGGACTTCTACACATCAGCGACTTCTTTCCTACTCTCATCAACCTTGCAGGTGTGGTTATCTATGACTTCATTTCCACTTCTCTGATTATCCCTCACTTGAAGGTGTGTCTTTTCCATTTAGTTTTGAAGATTTTTAAGAAAACTAACTCTGTAAAGAGTTAGTCCGTGGAAATAAGACTCTCGAGCAAACATCTCGTATGGAACATAATCCAGAAAGGCAAGAGTTATCCATTAAGATACAAACGTAGCGAGAAATGGAGTGAATATCATAATTGAACATCTTTCGTCATAATGTTTGTTAGATTTGTTTACTTTACTCTTTCAGAGAATAAGTCGTAACACCTGAGAGTTAATTTAGTAAATAGTGTTCTTGCCTCATTTCTTCTTCCCTTTCTCCTTCACTGCTTTTTCTTTCGTGTGTTTGTTTGTGGCAACCTTATAAATAATATTCTTATCATTCTGGTTTGACCACAGGTGGTTCGTACGATGCAAAACATCCTATCCCCATTGATGGCTTTGATGTGTGGAGCACTTTGTCACGTGGAGAAGCTTCACCTCGAACAGAAATCTTGCTTAACATCGATAATCCACCATCTGGGACAAGTAAAATGTTGGGAGTCAACTGGCAAGGAATGGCTCTTCGG